ATAAAATGAATTTTAATACACCTAAAATATTTTTCGAAGATACTCAATTTGATCTCAGCATAGGTCCATGTTTTAAAGAAGATAAGCTATTCTGTAAACTTCACAGAGAAATTTTGCATGATAGCCTTCTAAAAAGTATCATAATTCATTGTACATCTCGTATGAATTTAGAATCAACTTATTGTACGATATGTCTGATTGCTGTAGAGGTACCATGTGGATTTACAGCAGCAGCTCTGGTTTGTCTCTTAATGAATTTGCAAGATGTAACTTTGAAGCGAAATAGACATGATGAAGTATCTTATCATTTACATGCGACAGTGATAGCAATTATGTCTCTTTTATGTTGGATTCATAAAGCTAAAGTATTTTACGAATATGTGAATAAAGTAATGATGGAAAGGGCACAATGGGCTCCACATCTAAATCCTCCTATTCAATCTCAATATAATTTCGCAGCACATCATATACTTTGGAACAAGCCAGAATTGTTTTTTATAGATTGGGAAGCTCGTTATGGTTTGTGGAAATGTTTTCGTTTACGCGAAACTGAAGAGACACCGGAAGTGTGAATATTTACCGAAAATTATGATACATGTATATATTATGAAACTAAAATAAATATTATGTGACTATTGAATATCAAGATTCTATGTGATATTACAAACATTAATAAATGATTTCAATTACCGATATTTTTATACTTTTCTTAATAACTATCACTCTTAGTTCACAGTTTAGGCATGAAATTGGACAATTTTTCTCATAATAAACCTGTAATCATCAAATTACTCATACAAATAATTGTCATCAAAATGGCTGTGTTTCGACATTAAATAGCGTAATTCATAGTATTACGCATTAAACAAAGGCAATAAAAATTGACAGTGTGTGGTATTATATTAAATATCTTGTCATAATCTGTACTTTCTAAATGTGAAACAATATTAGTATAATCCAAGTTTGTTTGTAATTAAAAAGCATGATAATTTATCTCAAGTTATTGATATTTGTTCCTCCATCTTACATCATTCTGAACACTTTTTGATTCGTCAAAACATTTATTTTATAAACTATAAATTGTAATTTAAAATTAGACATGAATTGTTTGAAAATTGATGAAATATTGCTTTCTAATCCTCGAGAAACTCTGAAAAAGTGGTGACAATGAAGTTAAATGAATTTTTTAAGCGTATGTTATAGTGCAATTATTAAAATCGTATTGTTTACATAACGAACATCAGCTTCGGTGGATTATTTTCGTCAGATCGTCAAATTGCGTTTCAATAAAGGTTAACTTTTTAAATAAATTATAATGTTTATTGTTCCTTTATTATCAGTGTATCCTTTGTGACAATATATTGTTTTAAAGAAAACAAAGTTTTAACATGTATATAACTTAATATGCAAATTTTTATTATTAATTTCAATTGTATAAATACTAAATAAAGTTTGTTCAAATAATATTGCTTAGAATAAACTACAATAAAAGTTGTATAAGTTACCAGTATTTATGAATAATAATTTTTGTTATAAATATTTATTTTTCAGTTATTCAAACATTTGTAAAACGTTTTAGAAAGAAAGAATAAAGAAACAATGTCTGGAGAACAGTTTTCCTTAGTTTGGAATAGTTTCCCAAGAAATTTGTCCTCTGGATTATATACATTATTAACCGATGAGCAATTAGTAGACGTAACATTAGCTGCAGAGGGTCAAATACTACGTGCACATAAGTTAATATTGTCAGTTTGTAGTACATACTTCAGGGAATTGTTCAAGGTATATTTAAACTTATTTCATATAGTTTACGTTTATATATTCTATAGTATTAAAGTACTTGTAATAATACAGGGAAACTCTTGTAAACATCCGATTGTGATTTTAAAAGATGTCAATTACCGTGATCTGTCAGCAATGCTTCACTTTATGTATCAAGGAGAAGTTAACATTAAGCAAGAAGATATTGCCAGTTTTTTGAAAGTTGCAGAAACTTTACAAATAAAAGGTTTAACTACAGAAACAGAAGAGGTACGTTCGATCAGACATACAAATTTAAAGGATAATAAGATAAATAAAGGAATGAATTTTATTTTATAGAAACTTGGAGAAACTTTAACAAAGAATGCAGGGAACTTGGATCAAATATTTAATACAGAAAATAGCAGTATTAATTGTATTAATTCAGATACAAATGCTCCTACTTCCGAGGAACAAGGACAATTTGTACAGAAAAATCAGCAATGCAAAAACCAATTATCAAAAGATGAATTACACAGTAACGAATTTATAGAGAATACAACTGTCAGCGACATGTGTTGTCAACAGGAATCTAATTCAATTCATAATATACAAGATATACAAAATAACAGTTCGACAAGTATAGAAGAGGAACCATTAGACTGCACAGCTGATATAAGTCATATAGAATCAGCAAAGCAGGGACCACTGGATTATACGCTCGACATAGATACAGAAGCAGGATATAAAACATGTTTGCCTAACGAGACATTTTATAAACCTGAAGAAAATTTACAGACAAAAGGTATTATTTTTACATGTTTTATTAGTGTAATCATTTCAAAAGTTATGTAATTAGTAGGCTGATGACTATAAAGACATCATTCGGAGCTGAAAAATATTACATTTGCTGAATGAATGAGTACTTAGAAAATGAGTACTAGAGAAAACAAGATGATTAAAATTAGCGAAGAGACTACAGTTACTGGCTGTTGATGCAAAAGATTTGACACACTCAACTGTTTTCGTCGATGGATATACAGTCGTACAAATTTTTTTAGTATATGTAGCACAAATTAATTTTACAATGGAATCAATTATATATTTGCATGCTTATTTACTGGGTGTTTCAAATCTCAATTTTATACAATTCAATACCGCAGGATGGTAAATGTTTAAATGAAAAATATTATATCTTACAGACTATGTACCAGATATGCAATTAGTTCCCTACAATCAAAATACACAAAGTCATTCATTTGGTAAGTCTTTAATCTCTATCTTTTTATTTTAACGATATACGTTTTTATTCTTCTGAACTTTGCTTTTTTTTATAATTTTATTTATACTTTGTTTTTATCTGGTATTAAATAACTACAATTACCGTTAGGACTCTATTAACATTTATTTAATAGGTTTAAGTAACATGACTGGTTTTGAAAGTGAATTTACGTACGAAACTGGTTGTCATAGTAAAGGTCGACGAACCGTTAAAGGTATTTCCAACAATAGTTTGCCATTGGAAACAACTTTACGCGTTGTATCCGAACTGGGCCCAACATTACGTGTGGAAAGAGGTAAGGTTATTCGAATGTATTCATGTCCATGGTGTCTTCGTCATTTCACGCGTAAGGAAAATCTGAAACTACATGTTCGATATATTCACGGTCCGCTTGAAAGTCTAACATGTAGACTTTGTGGTAATAAATATAAAAATAGTAACAGTTTACGTGTACATTCGTATCTGTATCATAATGCTAAGCGCGACAAACCTAATAAGCCAATAGTGGATGGTGGCGCATGAAATTAGAAGAAGAAACAATTGACATTGACATTTGCATAAAATTATTACATGGTACGTAAATTAAATGTAATTGCCGCAATTTTATTTATGAGAAAGGTTGTTGGCAATTAACGAGAAAATTGATAAAAACCTAATTATTTAATATTTTCTATTTATATTTCTTTGATACTATTAAGGTAACAAAAAATTGAAAAATTTGCAGAAATACAATATTCTCTTAATTAGACAGATTTAGAATCTAGATAAGATAACATATTTTATATAAAACAGGTTACTTTAAAAAAGAAGAACCATTGTAAACATACATATATGTATATTAATATATCATTTTGTAAATATATATACATTTGTAATAAAATAAAAGATTTGCATTTGTGTATCCTTTTTACCTATCAAGGTATCGTAACACACTCATCGTTACCATACAAAATCACAAAATATTGAATGATAAATTTGTATTTTATTGCTTTAATGATCTTTTTCTCTACTTAAATATGTATATTTCTTAGTATGAATTCAAGACTTAATCTACAATCACGAAGTATCAAGTATACTTCTCATAAGTAAGAAAAAAGAAAATAGAGAGAGAGAGAGAGAGAGAGAGAGAGAGAAAGGAAGAGAAAGAGAAAAACGGAAAAAAGAAGTATTAAAAAATTGAACCGATCTCAATTCTACACCAAAGTGTTCATCCTTCACGTGGAAATTTTCTTTTACTAACTCTGTGTAACGTGGGACGTTTAGGGCCAGGTCGTGTTTTCTAACCTGTTTGGAGCTTTCAAAAAATCTAAACGATTTCATGGTTACTTATTAACGTCTGTACTACGATATCTAATAGGTTTCGAAGTGAACTATATCTGAAAATTTGTCAAAAAAAAAAAATCGAAGTCGAAGCAAAATTATTTGGGACATGGGACAAGGATAACAAATACACGATTGTAAAATCGTTGGAGGCCTAAACGCCCCACATTGTATACGAATAATTAAAATCGTCGACTAGCAATCTCCCGTCACAACAATACATACTAATAAAGCAGCCACCACGCCATCGACTCGAGCTCAAAATAAAATTATCGTCAGCTCATTACGAGGCATTACGAGGAATTCCCTAATTCCCACTAACAAAAGAGACCTCATCCTATCGTCGGAAATTCGTTATCTCTCAACGAACGATAGACACCAATATTCTAGCGTACTCTTCCCGCGATTCCTGAACGTCGATCAAAGGCCGAAAGATCCAGCGATTATTACGACTGGCCGCCTATAATTAAACATACCCGTGATTGGATTTGGCGGTATGGGCGACGATAAATTACGATTCCCCGGCAAATCTCACGGATCCCCGAGGATTCCCGGGGACGAGGGGAACGCGACGAGCCCGAGGACAGTGGCTTCGCAATATCATCGGGCTACCGTCTGGCTGGCCTTTTGCAAACGAGGTCGAAGGTCATGTCTTCGAGACATAATCGTGCATAGAGAGCGGAGTCAACATAGGACCGTGGATTCTCGAGCACGCGACCATTTTTACAATTACCAGCGAAATTTATTATAATTGAGAGTTAAATTGATCTTAAAGTGGTGTCGATACGCTTCCGGTTTTGGTTCCTTATTGGAAGGAAGTTGGAAGAGTGCAGAGATTATCGCAGAGGATCATGGCGACGTTCTATCTTTTGGACATCCTTGGAATTTCATTGCTGTTGCACTTGAGCTTTAGTATATTGCTACTGGTCATTTTGGTGCCTTTTATGCTACTCGTTTATCCGGGTAATTATCCTCGAAGAAGATTCATCCGATCGTGATCGACAATTCATTTTTTCACAGTGTAGGCCGAGAGAGACTCGAGCAGTACCATAATCGTATAAATTTACAGTGACTCAGTAACGCAATTATTAATACTTATTTTCTATAAAGTGTTGAAAATGTGTATTTTTTGTATCTGAGATAATTATTTCCGGAATTGTTCATTCTGAATTTTTTGTCGTTTTGTTACACTGGCAAAAGGTTAAGATATTTGTAGTTGCCTTTTTTACGATAATCAGAAAAATGATACGAGCACAGGTGCTAGATGGCAGAATGTTGAAGAATATTTATAGACAAATCTTGTTGTTGTTGCAATAGATATTTCAATAAATAATATTCATAATTATTTACGTAATATATATGTTCGATATAAATAACATGTTTGTATATTCACAATATTCTTTCCGTTCTTCTTCTCGTTATTTCCTTCCTATTAAGTCAAATGTTATATTCTTTTCGTAATATAATCTTCTTTGAATCTATGTAGATCTTGAAAGAAAGTGTCACTTACGTAAATGATACGATAGATGAAATTTACAGGAAAATTAACGCGTTGCTGTAAACGTATGTGTTAGTGATGTTTTAGTTACGAAGATGATTCGTAACGAGCCGAAAGCTCGATGCTGCGTGCTATATCAATTTGTATTTAACGAGACGAATCACACGTTTCGTTGATACGTGTTTCCTCGAATCTATATTTCGTTAAAATTATTTCTATTACATTCCTATCTATTAACCACAATTTTCTTTGTCGTATATCGAGTTAATTATCATTATATAATGCACTTTGGATACGTGAAAAATTCGCAATGATCGATAGGAAACGACTCGTATTTTTGTCTGTTTGTTTTCGGTCACAGATATCGGTTCAACGAAATATTACAGAATTGTAAACATAAGTAGAGAAGTAATTACGCAGACAATTTGTTTCAAGTTAAGTAACGGCTGTCATGCGGATAATCGAACTTAAGATTGGTTAAAAAAACGAAGAAAAATTCTATCTTAATGGAATATTTCTTCTGAAAAACTCAATTATTTTAATGGAATGGCACATTTCAAAATATTATTTGTAGAATATTTAACGAAAAATAAGAAAGTTCTTGATAATGCATCGATTATAGAATTACGTAAGATTATATAAATTTCATGTCATTGAAATTTTTATATCGAGCATAGAAACTTTTAAATTTCGTTTTATATCCACACGAATTATGTTCACGGTAGTAATAAAATTATTCAAGAATTAATCTTGCGGATAAAAATTGAAATCAGTTATAATAAATCGAATAAGCTAGTTGGATTACACATGTATTTCGAATCATAGCGCTCTTTTGCACGAGATCGCATTTTTAAGAACCGATTGCTTATTTTTTAAATACATCGAGATGTTGTAAGAGGCGATTATCGCAATCTCATTTTCATAAGAAAAATATTTTTACTTTTTTTCAAGTGTTAAAATGGTTAAGAAAGGGTTGGATACGTTTCGTAAAATGGAAATATCCGAACGTGGTCGTGGTGGAAGAGAACAACATTCGAACGATCCTGGATCAATTTCGAAATCACGTAGGTACACAAAATTAGACGATTTAATTTCTTCAATTTCAACGTTATCAATTTACATCGCTCTGCTTCTTAAATTTAGGGGATTTGTACTTTGCTGATACAAAGTCGCTCGATCGCAGAAGGTATTCGCGGCCACTTGGTACATCTGACTACATCCAGAAGGTTTCTTCGCGCAGGATTATCTACGAGATGGGGTCTTTACGTATGGAAGGATCTTGATTATTTCTCCGTGGATAATCACTTGTTAAATTCACCGTGTTCCTTCAGAGGTCGACCCATCACAGAGTTCAACATTCAGGTCGGTTTCATAAATCCAATCTTCTCCACTCTGTTTTACATCACGTTTGATTATTTTTAAATTTGTCTTTCATGTTTTTCACGTTTCTATACTCTTTATATTCTTTAAGAGCGTTTTTGTTTTATACTCTCCTCGTACTTTTCTATATCGTATACTCTTTGATAAAATCGGTTCTTATATTTTTCTCTATGTCCCTGTTTAACTTTAAGCTTCTTTTTCAATTCTTTGACACGATCGAAAATGACAAGGAAAGAATACGATAAGCAACGTAAAAATTCAACAGTTAATTCGCGATTAAGTATATTCGCAGCTTAACGAGCATTTCAAAAATGTCGATTATCATAGTACCAAATATCGTCCATAGTACCTCGATCGTCCCCAAAATTCCATAGATTTATTATTTATTTCTAGAGATTATATATCCTTCGAATTTAATCATCAAGCGATATCAAACTATAAAAGGAACAACAGAAAACGTCTAAAGCGCATTTAGTGAATTTTGCGAAAAAGCGGTTTTTAAGTCAATTTCCATACGTAGACTGTGGATGTTTATCTGTGGCGTTTGCAGCAAATTTGAACGTCTAAAACTACACACGATACAAAATATTCAAAGCGAAATTATTTGTTGTAATATTTACAAGATAAATTTGCATAAACATCCGTAGTCTATCTTTAAGTTTCAAATACTTCTTGCATCGAATGTTACATCACCTTCCGACAAAATATCTGCAACCTGTGTGCGCTAAAACGATCGACGGAGACTATAGCGCCGTACTTTATTGTAATTCGACTTTAACCGAAACGCGATACAGAGTCGTATTCGATGTTGCCGTTCAATTATTACTCGTCTGCGCTTTTCACTATCAGCCCCCATTATTTACGCTCTAAACCGCACATTCGAAGGCAAACAAGTCTGTAATATAACTATTTGCAGTAGATTCATGCATTTTAGGACTATGTGAGCGATCTCACGTCGAAATTCTTTCCATTCGGACAACCACCGTGGCAGGTGCACGTAATAAACTGTCTTCTTCGTGGAGAGGAGTACCAAATCTGTCTGGTGAGGGTTCATCATCTGCTCCTTCAACAAGAACACCTAGCGTTGACCGACTTCCTTCCATTGAGATATTCTACTGACAGTTGGGCGTGTCAGGAAGCGGACTCTCCTTTCACGAATCTTTACTCGGAGCCATCGGCACTTCCAAAACTTTATCAGAAACTCACGGAGAGCTTCAGTAATTATTGGAACGAATTTTTGTACAATAACGATCCAAACGAGAGACCAGAAATCCTGAAGAAGCAGATTGGTATTTTTCAATGCTTGAAAATCGCTGTCATCGTTTTAGTCTCTTCGGTGAAAGAGATGACAAGGTACGGTACAATGTTTTTGGATTGTTCGTTGATTTTTATAGGGTTTTTTTGGTTTTCGATAATTTGGATCTAACAATAAAATTATGCATTGTATCGGAGACGATGATTCGGTCGATCGACGTTATTTAATTCTCTTAATGACGTACGCTTCTTAGGTATTTAGTTCTTTCCTTTTATTCCTACTTGGAGTTAATTTTCATATTAATAAATAACGTTTTTATGCTCTTTAAACCGAATTTTTAGAATATTTTCTTCTACGTAGCTTTTTGTACAGATGGTATTTCGAAACGTTTGCCTCTTTTTAAACAGCTATTTAAAGTCATTTTAGTATCAAGGTGAATGTATAACGTCGTTCGCTAAGAAAAATCAACCCTTTATCTTTCATAAGCATACAAAGTTTATCCGCAAGACTCTATAATTTATAAAACTAAATTAAATATGTAAAAAAAACTTTTAAAGAATTTAAAAAATATCAAATTTCTCAAATTCGACGTCGATCTGCTTTATTTCATTCCAGACAGTACAGGAAAGGAGAGGGACCCAGATTTCTCGACATTTTCTCCATCTTACAGCGAGAAGCCAGTAAACGAAACGTCGGTCATACCGTCTTTCTACACGCTCTATTAAAATCTTTGAACCCTCTGCAATTCTTCTGCGATGCCATCCTATGGTGTTGGTATCTAGCAGTCGTTATAACTCTGAAAACGCCGATATTACTTATCCGAGAGTTACAAGCTTTGAAATCACGTCACAAACATTATCATTCGGATACTCTGACTTCTATGTTATGGTGCTACGTTCCTTTGATATATCAAGCCACCATAGAGGTGGTTTCCATAGCGTGGATTGCTATAAAAGCGCCGAAGACAATTTTCGAAGAATTATTTCTGAAGCATCCGCAAGCCAATCGACTTCAAATTACGTCCCCTTGCGGACGAAAAGTAGTTGCTTGGTCGGAGGAGATCAAACTCGATGTTCTACGAAAAATCTCGTCTATGACAGGAGCGACAGAGGCGGAAGTTTTGTTAGCCGCTACGGTAGATTCTCTTAAGGAATACTTTCGCCATTCTGGCGTTAGAATACCGGACGATGTGCTCGCCACTGGCAAATTTGTCGAACAGAGGGCCATATTTCTGCGGAATCACCAAGCCAGAGGCATTTTGTGTCTTGCGCTTCCTACAAAGACTCCGCTATTCGAAGATGATCTGGTGGAAATCTTACAGGTTTGCACGGTTGCATACGTGTCTTTCATAAGTTAATTGTTAAGTTAATTATCGAAGTTGATCAAGGAAGACCTTTACGCACGGTATTACGATTACGTTTAGATCATTCGCGTCTCGAACAGTTTTCTTAGATTAAATATTTCAGTTAGTTGAAAAAGTCCTTCGAGTGCGATTATAATTGAAGTTATTTAGTTGGTGATTCGAGTTGAAGGTTGATTCTATTATCGATGAATTTTCGAAACATAAGTTTTTGGCGATATTATTTTATGACGAACGATATTATTTTAATAATTGTTTTGAAATTTTACCCTAGTGAACGATAATTTGTTAATACATCTTGGTTTCAAGTATACTCTGATTTTAACGGAAAATAATAGGAAGGATAACGATAACGCAAATAACGGTTCGATAATTTTAAGGAAATTTTTAAAAATCTAACCATTTTCCCATTTTCCTAAGTATCTAATCGTAAGGTATCTAACTACGTAACCTGGAATAATCTCGATTAAAATCGGCAAAGTTCTTAACATCGTAGTAGCATAACTCTTGATGAACGAATCATCGCTATTATACCAATTTTTTTAAATAGCAGAATAGGACAAAATGAACGTGAAACTCACGAGACGAAAACAAACTATGTAACAACGATACGCCCTCGCGTTTGACCCAATTTTCCCGATTTATCAATCTATTATGCTCGTTATCTTGGACAATAATACCAACGTTGGCATTCTCTTTAAATTATTATTCCGCTCTATAATGGCCCATCATGTTTTAAGAAGAGACTTAGCAATTTCTATCGCATATTTGTTTTAACTTATCATCTGTTTACATTATTAACGCTATAACTGATCGTAAGTATCGGGACAGCTACTGATATTTAGTATAAATCGAATTCTATTCGTTGCTTTTAGTTTCTGGTAATGCAAGTTAAATAAACGTGATAAAGTAGACGTAAATAAAGCAGAGTTTTTCGATATATAAATATCGAAATATAACCTAATAGTAGGTGTCCTAATATTTATGTTCGCTATATAGCTATAACCAGTAATAATTACTAATTTAATAGTAATGTAAACGATCAAGTACGTGCTTATTTCAGGTTATTCAGAAAAATGTGCGCGAGGCAAGAGCAAAGCAAAGTGCGATGTACGCCATAACGGCAGCTGAAGAGTCTTGCGGATTGATTTCCTCCTGTTTGCCGTCGTTACTGCTCAAAGTGATGTTAAATCAGTTAACGAGAAGGTATTCCCTCTCCTTGACACATGTCAACGGAGATGTGCCCGTAGAAGGCGTGGACGCGATGATGTATTGGCGACCCCCTCAAGGCAACTGCAGTAAGTTGCTCTTTTTTAATATGTAGCGTGTTTTGTGAAAAAGTTAAGCATTTATTTCTCCCCTCTACAGCGTATAGAAACAGCTTCAGAATATATATTCTTCGTGATTTTATGTTCTTCTATGTTTATTTTACGTGAACAAGGTATCGAAGATTATTTTTAACTTCTTCCGATAACTATCTACCGTGAATCATCGACAAATCGCGGATTTTTATACGTTTAGAGAAAATTTCAAGCTGTCCAGAATGCAAATAATATGCAAAAATATATAAAATATTCGAAACGTAGTAACACTATCTCGGTTTCACTTTTTCGATTATATTCATCACGAATATCCGTAGTCTAATATCGACGATCTACGTAGATGCACCGTCATTTATACTTTTTTCCTCTTCTTTTTATGGTTCACCGAATATTCTCAACGCGCATCTACTTTTAGCGGATCGTTTGTTTTTAGTGCTCATTAATAAGGGTTGTATGTCGTTTTTTTTAGATATGTCGATAACCCTACACAGGTACGGAAGCGGTGTGCGGCTAGGTGTGATGGGCGACGCGTTAATCGGTCCTGAACACGCCGTTATCACGAGGACTTTCCCGAAAAGCATGGAGAATCTCGCGAACGTAGTTGGAGTTCCTAGAATTCCCAGCAGAAACTCAACTCCGAGTCCAGTTAATCCGAGTACTTCACCGGGACATTAAAAATGTACGGAGGCTATGTAGAATAGGTGAGACTCTCGTTGATATCTGAATCAGGTACATTTTTCTCTTTTAGCAACGTTTTTAACAACATGCGTTTGAAAAGTTCGTAGAAGCTTCCTACTTTGTACGAAGTTAGCAGTATTTCGGTAATACTGAATATTTTACTTATTTTCTTTTTTAAGATCTATCGAAAGAAAGGCTCTAATCATTTTTCATGGAAATACGGCGTAAGAAATTTCGATCAACTTGATTTTCACTACTCTTAATCTTCCGTACGGTTTACTCCGTTTGGAGTGCGTTTGGATCGCGAGTATCGGATTAGATTTTGGGTATATTTCATTTTCTAACCGCAGCGCCGAGATGCGATCGGTTAAGCCGTGATCATACAGAAAGCGGCGAAAAGAGCAGCGGTACAACTAACCCCAATTTTGCTGCTTATAGTTTATCTGTCTGTATGATCACGCCCTTACACCGATTTGTACAGGTAAGACGGACGTTCATAAGACCGAATTTTCAAAACCGTGACTCACATTTTCGGGTTTAGCGACCTAAAATACCACCGAGAAGACACATTCAGATCAAAAATTTTGCAATTCGTAGACTATTCTTTATCCGGAAGAAAGATACGACAAACGCAAAGACATATAGAAAAATATTTCCGTATAATAAATTTAGTATTATTATGTAACGTATAAGTATTTTTACGTGTTTTGAAGCATTTTTTATATTTGTATTTAACATTTTTTTTCTATTTAACTAAACGTAATATTCCGAATAACTTTAATTCTGGTTGGGTAATATTATGTTACCGATAATTCCGTTTCTACTTTTTATTTCTTTCATACATATTTTTTACTCTCTTTTACTTTACAATTTTGTATATTATAAAATAATTGAATTCGCTTATCACGCGTGCCTGACATTATCAGTAGTAAATATGAACAATTTTTTAGGTCACATGTTTGTCTCCTGAGAAGATAAATCCGCGTTTTTTTCTCGGAAATCGTGCGAAACTGCGAATTCGAAATTGAAAGCGAAATTGAACTGGATACCGGACCTTTAGAGGAAGACTTGTATGTAGAATTTATTAACTCTGTCGGATAATATTTATAACTATCTACGATTGTCATATATTTAAAAGAAAAAAATTTCCAATTTTTTTTTGGAAATAGATAAGCAAGAAATAACGAAAAAGATTGTGGCGGTGATATTTGTTACTTTTTTATAAATTTGTGATGCAACGCTATTTCTGTCTCCGTCCTTTTTGATATTATCTTTTTTTTCAGCCACATTCGAATAAATAAAAATAATCTGTTTCTTTCAACATATTGTAAGTATATATATTTATACAAATATATACATTCGTATCTAATTTATACATACACTTTCAGCAATTTATATTTTGCGGCAATGCATAACGCATTATAAAGATTAAGAAATTAAATCTCCTTCTTATTACTTGTTACAATGGTTTCTAGTTTTTAAGTATTATACGTTACAACTGTTACAGTTGACAGAAGATATTTCATTTTTTTAACAAGACATTTCTTTCCATGAATCACAACTTTCGTTTTAGCTTGACTTTGCATAAACAGAACAACGTTAGGGAAGTTAATTTGACAATTTGATTCCCATCTTTGTATCGAGTATTTAAAAAGTTGTCAATTTTGATGAAAATTAATTACAAAAGGGATCATTTATCAGGACCTTGTCATTTTAATTAACAAAATTATGTTATTTAACGAGAAGAGTGTCACGATTTCAAAACTGTTTAACGCTACACTTAGATTATCCTAATTAATAGTAAGCGACGTAACTAAACAATATTTGACTAAAAAATAATATATATCAAGGCTAAAAAATTATTATCTAAATTTTAAAAGGAAATAAATGCTTCCATCGCTGGTTAGGTTATTAATTACTTCCTGTTTAAAAATTTCTATTTCATACCAATGTGTTTCGAAAAATTTACTTTTCCTAATTGTGCCATTTTTTCACAAACTCACGATATACATGCGAAATTGAGATCAGTTGTGATTTTCGAACTTGTATGTTCACATTTTTCTTGTTAAGAGACAAAAAGAACCGTAATTCCATTAGTTTTCGAAAATAAATTATTAAAGCTTCTGCATGAGTCAAATTGTAAGTCACATGTATGCTATAGGGCGCATACTCTAGTACCTCATTGTGAGTGCACATATACAAATATTAGCGATGATACGTTATACATTGCATATGTACATACGTATACCTTATAAAAAACGTAACACATTGTACACAACGTTAAAGTCGTACGTAATTCGTAGGCAAAAATTAAAATTGAATAACTCTTTCTTATGTTATGATATAGTACTATAGAATGATGTAATATTATTATAGTTACTTACTAATATTCTTTATTCCCTCTCTTTTTCATATCCAATGGACGTTGTCGCCCACTTTCTCCATATAACTTGCGCTTCCATCTATAGGTTTCAGTGCAAACAATGATAATTATGATAACACCGACTATCATCGTCACTTTTTACTACTACTACTGAATCACTAATTAACAAATTACAAATACTATCGCTAATAAAAGTAAAATAATTTAATAACAATAACATTCTATCGTTATAAACTATGTAATACACAATAGAAAAAAGTTGTACGAAGTGAAACTAATCGATGCTAAATGTAATAATTTTAAAAGGTTACATTTTTCACTGTTGCAGTCAAAACCATTCTGTTCTTTTAAAATCATATTCCCATATCATATCGTCTTTGTGATGAAAAATGTTTCACGATTAGTTAATGAATTCTGTAGAGGTGGTATTTTTTAACAATAACACAGTATCACTTTGTGGGGTTGGTAGAAAATTTAAGACGTTGCTTTCATCGATACTCTGTGCCACAAGATGCACGTGTGCAACTTGAGAGAAGGATAACCAACCGTGCGAAATTCAACCTAACTGGGCGCGTATAATCGAAGGAAGATCCGTTGCTATGAGGACAATAAGATAATAAACTGTATTTCGACCTCTACCCCTACTTGATCCAAACACGCGCTACAACAAATACACAATAGTGGAAACTGAAAACTTTGTTAGACTCCGTGTCCACTTCGAAAAGATATATGTGTAATTTATTGTATAAGATAATGTATAATTTTTACTACTACTACTTGAAATCTACTTTCAAGAAACTCCTGGTAAAATTTACATTTGTTATCACACTTGACACTGTTACGCTATGTAGTATTAAATATAACATTGTTGCAAACAGCATCAAAACTCTCATTGATTATTGAGTATAAAATGTGATAGCGGGATAATATGGACAACCAATTGACTTATATCTTTAGAAGTGAAATATTTGATTTTATCTTGTACCTTTGCGTGTCGCGTTTCAGTGAAGCATGTGTACACGAAGCAAGGCGCTACTAGCGTTCCAATGCACACTAGAGAACAGTAGCAGAAACTAGCACTTTACGACTCTCAGTTCAATCCGAGGGAAAGCTTTGACAATTTATTTTGTAAGGACGATATACTTAAAGCGCATTCTTCTTTTTAAATTTTTTTTCTCAAGAGACACAGGATAAATGACATAGAAATCCGGAAATGAAGTTAACACGTCGTTAAGAAATTGTAGAGAAAGAACTGTATCCATTTTTATACGCTCTATGAGTATGACATAATTATTTATAAGCACGATCTTTTTTAAGAACGAGACTTTTTAATAACATTCATTATAATGTAATGGAAACAATCAATTGTTGATATTTTTGTTAAACTTCTAACAACAGGGTGCTTATTTAAGCAAAAATATAAGTATGTACATATTGAAACAGCAGATTTAAGTAAAGTTGCAGTCATTATAGTTACGTATCCTTACGTCTCTACCATGATATCGATTGATTAAATATCTCTAAAAGCTATACAGAAATTTCTAAAAATCGAATAAGTTTATTGGATTTATTTTTTTTATTTTTTAATTGAAATATGTCATTACGGTGTATAATATGGTAACATTGCGCTTCAAAAATCTTCGTTAATATAGTTAAATGCCGAATACTTATTAACTAGAGAATACATTTGCTAATTTCACAATTTTTCTAACCTTTACCTGACAATGGTTGCGATCACAGTTGGGACGTTTCGTTACAACGATGCGAAAAATTATTGTACATCGTTTTAATTAGCATGGCAGACTTGATTTCTCAATTTGTTATCTATATTGGACGTTATAAGGCAGACGTTTAGAAGTATATCAATCTGGTGGTATTCACAGCAAATTTGAAGAAAATCCAATCAGCATGTTCTTTAGATATCACTCATACTGTTATATCCTATCATGCGCTCGAACCATGTCCTTGAAGGGAAGAGGGTGAACGCTTTCTAGACGAACGCGAGGCCTCGAGATGATTAGGCCACGAACAATACTCTAGATGATCTTCCAGGCAATCGATCAGACCATAATATGTCGCTAATGTACTAATGACGCCTCGGAAGTAACCTGATTTATGACACGCACGGCCATTGAGAACATGATAGACATAGAAAATAGAAAAGATTGTTAGAATTGTTGAAAAAAATCGTTATAAATGCTAAAGTCTCTACTAAAAAATAGCCTCTTGTGTCCGAAAGCAGGCGTCATAAAATTACCTACGAAGGACCTCACGTTTTTGTTCCTTCGGACGGAACACGCAAGATTTTTTTGTCGTTAACGCCTTTATAAGTATATAAATTCAGTTAAGTTTGCCACTTCCTTGTTCAGAAATATTCAAATTGAATTACCAGATAGTATATATTTGTATGTTAGTTCATGTTTTTCTAGTAATACACGTATATAGAAATTTTGTAAATATTTATCAAAGCAAGTTTCTTCTAATTACGAGCACCTTTTTTAGAAACATCCTTTTTTTTATTGTTTTATTTGTTTTTAAGAAAGAATTTTGTCTTTAATAAAATTATTGGTGAATTAATTTTTTTAAAGAAAAGTAAATAATATGTATTTTATAGCTTTGTACTGTTGGAACAACAGCGAATAATATATACCAATTGCATATCGATATATTTACGCAAGCGACACGCATCGCACATATTAATCGAAAGATAAATTGCAATTTAAAAGATAAGGATGCATTTGTATTTCAATTGAATAAATCAAACTGTAGTAAATCCACAAAATAATTAAATAGCGAAATACGATGTTCAATTACGTTTGCCGCATGATAAAAAAATCTTACGATACATTCATTGTTTCTTTGTACCTTTGCTAATTCTTCGTATATTATGATCTCTTCAGTGAATTTCAAATACAATTAACTATATTTCACTGCAATTTAAATAACTTTAAGTTATTAACATATGTACATTTTGCGGTTTATTTTATGAATATTACGGATCGATAAGTATTATTATTATCACTGTATATAAAGTACATCCATTTAATAAAAAGAAATCTGACGATAAAATCATTATAGAGTAAAGAAAAATTAATGCAACAATTAATATTTTCCTTCTCTCGACGATTAAAATAACAGTAAATTATCAATTAACAATTCCATCGCTTGTCTTTGTCGAAAGTCGATTCGAAGAGTCGAGTCGATTAATAATAAATTCAAGCTATACTATCTCTGTCACGCTCCATTTCGATGGGTCCTTTGCCCCAAATCTTCCGATTTTTTGTGTACGGAATGAGGCCTACCAAAAACCCAGAAATAACAATCCATCCACCAGCCAAACAAAAGGACAAGTCCCACGAGTCCGTTACGTCAAATATCCAACCAGCCAGTGGTGGACCAAGAAGATTTCCTATACCTTGACAAAGTAAACTAAGGCCGTAGGCAGTGGTGAATCTCTCTAAAGGTATCAACTCTACCAATATAACAGGAGTAAAACTAAAGCTACTCGCAAAAAAGAGACCGAACGCTGCCGAGGTGACCATCAGCAGATTATAATAAGGAGTTAACGTTGACATTAAAATCGTTGCCACGCCGCAAGCAACCAGACACCAGGTGTAGGTTTTACTAACATTCATCCAAGGTTGATCTCCTGCCCATCCAAGACCGATCTGAAAACGATATAAAGCAACTACATTGTAAAATAGTTAATAAAATAGTTGCATCGATATCTCTGTAAAATAATTTGCAGATAAAACGAATCATACCATTCCAATCGTATTAGTAATGCCGATAATACTAAGGAGATTCGCAGCATCAGACTCGATGTAACTGTTTCTGGTAAGATGCTCGGCAAGATAAAAGTAAGGCACAATGAACCAAGTGAACAGCAAGATCGTTGACAGTGAGAGGAATAAAAAGTGCAGTTCCAGGAACATTGAAAAGTCCATCATACCCTTCAGTAAGTCTACTAATTCGCTGTACCATTTCTGGAAATAAAAGATTAGAATAGGTGTTATATTACAGGCTATAACGATGGTAAAACTAATTATTATTATTATTTATTTATTTCGATTTTTATCTTACCTCTTCGTTTTCTTTGGCTAATGTAGTCATACTATTCCTATAAATATCAGGACAACTACTGGCTCTTAATCTGTATTTGTGCAAATTAAGAGCAGCACCACGATACATGACCGAGTTCCTGTGAACTCTAATATCTTTAAAATGGTGAGTATTGGTATTAAATTGTCTTCTTAACCACGGGAGAGAATCCGTTCTGACGACTCCACAACTAAGGTCCGCTATGCGTTGTTTAGAAATCGATTTTGATTTTCGTCCTTCGCTCATCTAAAATATTATATAATAATGTAAAAAGAAATAAAATTTGTCGTTGCTTTTTGTTTTCACTATATCAGACAGAAATAAATGTACTTTTACTTACTGTATATTCAAGTTCTTTGACCAAGAGAGGATTGGCTTCTTCTGATTCTTTTTTAGATATCCTTTTCGTTATGTGATTCTTTATGGTGTTGCATGCAGCCCCTGAGTGAACATTATTCGTTGCATACGAATTGTCATGTTTTGATTCGTCAGGTGCTTGTTTGATCCTTTCAATTAAAACGAATAATATTACTACAATTCATTATTAATCTTTTGTTATATTTCTTACTCGTGACGATATCGGAAGACATTAAATATGACAGAGGGACAAAAAAAAAAAAGAAAAAATGAAATAAAAATAGCGGTACATATCGATCAAATTTGAAACCTCATAGACATTGTGACGCGACTCTTATTGCCGACTTCTCCAGTGGAATCTTGTAGCATTTTATCCGAATAACTTCTACATGATAGAAGGTTGGGATAGTTCTCCAAAATGACCTTATACAGTCTCGGGTTACTGGAAAGCGATTCTAATACTTCTACGGGCACCTGCAATACACGAAAGTACAAATTTTCTTTCCAATTAATTTTTTAATCTTTGTGTTTTTATCTATACGAAGCACGACTCTGTCTTCTAATCATATTTATTAAAATTTCCTAATGTACTATGTATTAATTTATATTTATTTATCAAATTACCAATATAAAAGATAAAAATTCATTTCTACTGCTTCATTGTCAGTGGTATTTCATTTGAATATTAGAAAAAGAATATTAAAAAACAAAGAATTTCATTATTATTCATCGCGGAATCCCTCGGAGAGCAATTGCAGGATTCTTTTCATTCCGTATTTATCCAGGTCAGCTTCTCACCTTTTCATTGTGCTTCACGAAAGTAGGTAGGTTAACCACGCTTCTAAATCTAATATCCCCGTTCGCCGTCTGTGGACCGTCCGTGGTGGCGCTGAGAATCTGTAACAAATACTCCGGCGTATGTCCGCTCTTCAGCATTCTTCTCAATTCCTCGACCCCAGGAAACTCGTCTGCAGGGCTGATACTGGATCTATCGCATTCGGACTTGGTCGTCGATTTTTTCGGGGTTGCACCGTTCTGTTTTTCCTGTTCCAAGATCCACCATTCAGGATCGCGCATTACCGTACCACAAACGATCATGTTGAAGAAGGTGCCTGCTAGCAGCAAGCAAGTGCCTCTCCAGCCATATTCCTCGATGAAATACGTGGTCATGGGTGCGTACAAAAAGGTACCGATCCCTGTGCCACAGGCGCCCAATCCTACAGCTAGGGTTCGCTTCTTATCGAACCAATACGCGATGCTCACGACCGCAGTGACGTAACACAAACCCAAACCCAGACCAGCGATGACTCCAAAAGTCAAATACATTACCTCGATGGAATTGCTAAAGGAGCTCAACACGAAGCCTATTCCTGAGATCAGGCCACCTACGATGGTCATGCTCCTACATCCGTAACGATCTACCAAGGCCGACATTATAGGACCGGACAAAAGCGGTACAGCCATAAAAAGAGAACCTATCCAGGCTGTTTTCGATTTAGACGCACCGAATTCTTTAAGGAATTCGATGTACAAAAGGCCGAAACTGAAGGACACTCCATCGGCTATCATGGAGATGACCAAAGAAGCCAATACGACTACCCAACCCCATCCACCATCTGGCACTTTAGGTTTCCTTTTTCCCTTGTTGGCTAATTCGTCGTCTAAAGTGCTATCGGAATCGATAGAATCCCTCGTGTCGTCTCTGTAGCCAGGATTAGGGGTGATTATTGGCTTTGCCTCCAAATATCTCCAATTGTTGGATCCGTCGTTTTTTTCAAACGGGGGCAACTCGTTGGCTAACGGGGTTGTTATTATTAACTTGATTTTATTGACAGGTATAGGGTCTATCGTAAGATTCGGCGAGGCCAGGGAACTATTGTCAACAGGAGTAGGTGGTGCTCTGTCGTCCGTGCAATCTGTTCCAGGACTCAGTAGATCGATCTTGTCCTCTATATCGTCGGTCAAACTTAGATCCTTGCTTTTGCCAATTTCCGGAGATGTCGTTAAGAAAGTGTCCTTATCGGGTGACAATGATTCCACGCTTCGATCGATGGTATGAGCTGGTGTAGACAGAAGAAGTCTTTCGTCCGCCAAACTACTGAGGTCTTCGGTGTTCCCAGAATCTGGATCGATCTCTGAATATTTCGTAGACGAGGCGACGCTTTGGGAACGAGACAAATCGATCGTATCGTGCGTTTCTGGATCTGGCGTGCCACACGGTGTGCTTGGAAATACCGTTGGACTGCCATTTTGCCAGCCAACGATGGGCGCCTTTCTCGGCAGACGATAATTCGAATTTGTTTGATCTCTCTGATAGCTGTTCGATCGTGGATAATAATTTGGATCTCTCGCGGTTAGTCCGTCTCTTTTGATCAAGTTCGTCGAGCCGTTGTTGCGAATATCGTTATTGTTGTTCCAATTGCAGGCAGATTTGTGGGGTACCTGTTGCACGTTCAGTTGATTTGTTGGTTTTAATAGCAGGTTCTCGTTACGATCGGTCATCGTTGTTATTCTAAATGTAGGTGCTGGCCGAGTGGATCCAACGTCGGGGCCAGCCCTTCAGCCTCTGGATCTCGCTCGGGAAAGATCGTTCACGCCCCTCACCTACCATAAGGACTTTCCGGTCGATCTTGGAAAAGTCACTAAACGTCGGTCGCCTCAGCATGCACGCTCCGTCTTCTTGCTTCTCCTGTGGAAAGATCTGCTTTCAATAATATAGGAAAAGTATACTGCTTTATAATTATAAATTATGATATTCTTGGTTATGCTATCGGATAATTATTAGAAATTTTAATCAGTATAGTTAAATAATGTTTGTACAAATCGTTCATCGTTCTATGACGAAATACTTGAAAGTTATAATTAATAAATAAATGATCGTATTTTAATGTTCAATTATTATAAAGCATAAAAGACTATATTTTGTTATTTCCAAAAAGATACAAGCCGTTTACATGTAAATTATAGGCGTATCTTATTTTACGTACGTGCTGATCTTAAAATTAGATCTACGTAGCAACTTGTAAGTTTTTTAAAAGCTGCCGAAATACAAAACTTTGTTTATTCTGTTAAAAAGTATTATATTCTTTGTATCGTGAAATATGGGTAACAATTACGTCAGAATTCTAAACACACCGTAGTGAATAAAATATGCTAAGATATAAGACGAGCGTTAAAAGGAAACGTCAAAGTGTAAAATCATAAAATAAATCAAACGTGCCTCGTTAACGTGTACTAAGAAAGCACAGGAGTAAAAAAAGTGGCATAAAACAAGGAAGTTCTAATAAAAACGGGGAAAAAATAAAAGTGAAGTAATTAGCAACGATGATAAAAAAGTAAGAGCTGTTTACTCACCATTGAGGTAATGTAAGATGATATATAGGCGTGCATGCGTGTCTCGGTACAGGAATGTGCATACGACACTGAACGGTGTGAGCAAGTATAAAGAAATCGATAGAAAAAGAGATGGACCATATTTGCGATCAACCATTAAGTGATTAAGTGATTAAGTTAACTAATTATATATGCTAAAACAAGCAAAGCGTGCGTGTTCAATTAGAGAATTCAAAGAAGCTGGGAAAAGAAAACAATTAGTGGTCAGTGTGAAAGCAGAAAAAATAAATTTCTGAAACAAGATAAAAGGAATTAGAAAAATAATTATTAAATATCTTTCAGCGAAGTATTACATCTACTACATGCATGATTCCACATATATATTAATGTTACCTTAAACCGCAATGTTAATAAAAATAAGAAGTATATCTAAAAAAACACACATTTTATGTAAGATCAATACTTAAATATCATTAACTATCGATGGCAAAAATTGTTGATACACGTAAATTAAATTTTTCCATTATACATTCTGCCTAATTAAATTACTTCTTCGCTTTTAACACGCAAATATAAATGGAACAGTCTCAGACTATATCAACGACTCATCACTTCTATATACACTTTCCTATTCTATTCCATTTTCCATATCCCACGGTTTAAATGTATTCTCCGATTAAGAAGAATATTTGTGCCCCGTAATCGCAAGTTTGTTCTCTTGCGCTCTTATCTCATTCCTCTAAAGAAACAATGGGGAAACGACGTATGTACGATTAGAGGGCATTCATGCGAGGCGTCCTCTATTATTTAATCGCTTTTCTTTCTTGGAAATAAAATATCTTTTTCAAATGCCGTGTGCTCATATATCAAATCATTAAATAGCGACATTCATCGGTGTCTTATCGTTAGAACTATAAACCCACTTAAGCCCATACACACTGCTTTCTCGGTTGCTTTTAAGATTCCATACAATAAAAAAAAAGATGGCTTGTAAGATAAGTAACAGATATTTCACTGCGAATATTAATTATTATTGCAATTTCATTAAAGAAAGAAAAGGAGGAGGAAGGATAGTTTCAACGTACAGGGTGATTCTAAAGTCTTAGTACAATTAAAAAAGACACGATTGTCTATGTAGAAATAAGTTAAAAATATAGAATACGATACTTTCATATGTCGTAAAAGACGATTTTAGAAATTTGTCCTTTTTATCTTATATTTTCGACTTATTTTTATAGGAGAAATCATGTGTCCTTTCCGACTGCACCATAATTTTGGAATCATCCTGTATACTAACACTGCTATATATATATTATTGTACATACAATATAACGCTATACATAGCGTATTATCTAAATATATTAAATACTAGTACGTTACATATTATTTATTATATTGATTGTACATTATATGACACACCATGTACATTTTGTCGATACAGCCCTGGCTGTATTTATGTCCTCATATATCATATTTCTATCCTGCTTTATACTGACTCTTGAAACGTAATTACTTTGATCACTGATCAATTTTACGATCTTGCTAAATCATGATCCTACAATACGATTCATAAGCTTAATTCGACTAACACGTAGGAGCATTATCCTAAAACGCTCTATCAATTATCACCTATATAAATACGAGAAGGTTGACTTTAGTGCTAAGTACATATCCGGAGTCTAATAAGGTCTCAGTGATGAATCATCTGTTTAAGCAGGTTTAACCTTAACTTTGGCAGGCTTCAACTATACGTAATTCATTTTTCGACAAAAGTGCGGCAAAAGTGCGGCAAAAGTGCGGAGAAAACCGAGACGCCCTCTGCGAAAAAGCTAAAGTAATATATCCGGTAGATGGACACGATCCAATAATAACACGCAGTTTCGTAACTATCGATTCGAAAAATAACTTTCAGAAATTATATTCTTTGTTTCCTCGAGTTTAAACATTTCTTTTATAATAATAATTGTAACGATAAATTATATTACAATTTATATTATTAATTATAAAAATAATAATAATTATTATTATTTGCTAGACTATTATTACTATGCATTATTACGCATTTATGGGAAATTCAGAGATACTAGTATAGTACTCGTTGTGATATTTGGTTGGAAAAACATATTTCACCCAGCATTGCGTTGCTTTATATTTATAAAAATATAAATTTGCGCTAACATTCTCGGTTTCGTGGTATTTAGATCTAATTATTTATGCAAAGGATTTTTCTAGTTGAGTTTTACATTCCCTTTTGGCAAATTCTGATAGGATTATTCGAAGAGAATTATGTCACTGGGTTAGTAGGTAAAGCTAGTAGTACTAGCAAGTTCTTATAATCGAGAAGCGACCATCGAACGTGAACTCAAGCACATGATTTATAGGTTTACGAAAGAATCGATACGATTCCAGGTTATTTTAGATACATTTACCCTTTTCGTTCTTCCCACTATAGTACTTTCCATTAACGTATGAACCTTGAAGTTCTAATGCAAACTCGATAAATTCTTTCTATTTGTAACACTTTTATTTCAACTATAGCTATAACAGATATATTTTATATTACCGTGACTTAATTTAAACTTCATTTCGGTATTAAAGTATACGATGGTTGATGCGAGAAATCGTGCGTACTAACAAAGATCTTTTTTCATATCTTTAGCAAACTTTAAAGATTATGTTTATTTGTAGAAAAACATAATTAGGTCGAATATGATCCAAGGGATCTGATAGAGTTAAACGAACTAGCATAAACCCATTCTAAATTATTATAATTACTCCTATAAACTAACGATATCAGTCGAGGGTTAACATTGATAATTACGAAATAATTAAATAAAGATAATTAATTAAATTTTGGAAATTCTTGTCTGCTCGATATCGAGGACCTCTTTGCCCTCCGGTGATTTATTACACGCACGATATGATTTATCTTATTTCCAAAAGCCAGAAACACCCAGAAACAGTCACAACCATATAACAACAGAAATAAAGTAGTATCTGATGACACAGATCAGTCCTGTACATGTAATCTCTCAAGTAATTCTACTTGAACTCTATATTTCATTCAACAAAGCGACGAGCGATGGCAAATATTTAAAGAGATAATAAGATCTTTCGAAACTGCAAAGAACGAGACCTATCGACATCGAAAAATATCTTCTTTGTAATCGCAAGAAGTTTCTGTTAATATTTTAACATGGAAACGTAAAAAACGTATAAAAAATTTTTCTCGGTATCGTTGTTAGGCTCTTCTAATTTATTAATGTTTTTATTTAAATAGTATAGAATTTCATGCAAAGTTTCAGACGATCGATTGTTCTTTTGACTCCGCGCGAGCCTTCACCTGCAAGGTGTGGCCGCGGCTTTAAGGTTATCTTATCAGAAAGGAAATCCAAGACTGATATTATTAGACAGCACGCGATGGTCCTTAATCGCCCCTGTACTTGTTCATAATTGCTACTGGATTGTTTTCGTATACTTGCAACGCAAAATTAGGGCAAATGTAAGGTATTGCTTCTTGCATTTCCTCGTTACTTTGTTCTGAAAAATGTGAATAAAAGATAAGAAAAATAAATCCTTAGATATTCTAAATATCAGAAACCCTTAAATATCTATGGAAATGTATAAATGATATTTATACATTTTTAGAAGATAACAAACTTTTTGATCTTTTTCCCTTGAAGAAAGAAATATTTGATTTCCTATTCCCTCGGAATAATATCGTTACCTCTTTTAATGCATATTTATCACGCAAGATATTCAAATAGATCGGAAAATACTAAAAGTAAAATAGTATCGCTAAAAACAAAAATGTTTACGGATGCAATACGTATTGGATATTACATTGTTTAGCTCAAGGAGTAACTCAACTTTCCTCTGGCATTAAGAAGATTAGGTCACGAGTATATACGTATATGTATATATATGTATTTTTGCAGGAATATGAGTACGCACAGGATGATTCAGGAGCGCCAAAGGTGGGTGATCGGGGGGTGTCACCATGACAACCGCCATGGTCGATTCCAACGTCTACCATCCGTCAGAAGAAAATAAACAAGCGGGATCATGCATTGTTGCGATTCATTTGCCAATTAAAATCAATAGCGTTGAATATCGATGATAATTCATGAATTCTCGTGCACGCGAAGCCTGATCAATTTGCTCGATTTTTAGTTATCCACGTTATATTAGATCGTTAATCGCTGAACGAGCAAACTCTAAGATACAACATTATCGTTCCATAAATATCATAATGTTAATATTTACGTTATTAATCTGTTATTGTCATACTCGTGTTGCAACACTTCCTAAGTATTGCTTTTTGTTATTGGTGAATAAACATAGTCAACTGAAAAAGTTGGCGTTTTACGTAAAGTGTTTGATATCGATTTGAAGATTACCCATCACAGATTTTGATATTTGATGCTTCGAATATTAAGATCACGTTAATGATAGAATAAAATTTCATTATAATATATCTTTTCTTATTGCGAAAATGATACAATAAGGAGAGAGGGAGAGTTAAAGTTACAATTAACTTTTTCGTACGTTGTTAGTTTAATATTGTTTTATTATTGATATTAAATAAGAAATAGATATCTATTGTTTATGGTGATTGTAATGATACTGAAACTTTATTATTATAAATAATATTAAAATGAAACTCGTAGAAAACAAAATTTATAGAACACCTCTAATAAATCGTTAGAATTAAATTCGTAATCAATAATTGCATAATACATTTGCACACATTTTTTCACAAATAAAAAGCAATTATCAATGTAAAAGGAGTTTAATATCATTTACATAGATATATACTAAACAACATAAAAATAAATTAGAGTTTTATTATATATTTGTGAAACGATTGGTCATTAGATTTCACGAGGGAAAAAAGAGTTAAGATATTGAAACGAGGAAGATTTACCGAGATGAATAATTATTTATAAGAGTTCTACGTCATATGTGTTATTCAGATATGCAGATCGGTACCATTCCGGTTTAATTATCTCGAATGCATTGGTGAAAGCAACATTAAGCTATCGCGCGCAGCACGCGAATGTCAATGTCTGTTATTGTTGGTAGGTTACTTTTATGACGTAATTTTAGCTTAACATGCAGATTGTTAGAAACATAAACGCTTACATAACTATATGACACCCCAGAGTCCAGATTTTCACTTGTAAACCTGCCAAAAGGACATTGACCTTAGACTTACACATGGTTCTCACTTCGCTAATTCTTTTTCTAAATCTTTCAAATTCGTACATAATAAAATACCTACATTAATACCTAAATTAATTAACCTACTGTCGACGAAAACAATATTTGGAATGTTGATCGATGGTTGTAAATAACCTAAAGTATACACGTCTCTGGAAGTTATAGATTTTCGGTACATACGTATATATAACATAACCTGTTCGCATTAAGCTCATAATACGACTTTCAGGCTAGTATATATGTACTTGCGATGTAAACATAATGTAGATCACATTTTCAACACTTACTGAGAAATATAATTTTGTTTTCATGGAACAAGCGAATATTTAGCGTTATGAAATCGATATTATCGTATAATAGTTAAAAGTAACGTGACATTTTACTTGATATAAGGAAAATGTAGGTCAAAGAAATGAAATTCTAACCAGTAGCTCAAGCTAAGAATAAGAAAAATGATATGCAATGCTAAGCAAAGTTTATTTTCTCCTTATCTAAATATTTTCTGACAGAAAAATTCGCCTCTTATCAAAAACAAAAATAAAGAACAATGCCCCTACTGATAACATAAAGAAATTAAATGATATCCGATCATTCAATTTACAAATGCCTGTCAATTAAGTTTGACATATCAAAGGAATGCTTTTGTTAAAGAGGGCGTATTTTAATGTAATAAATATTATTTTTTATTTTTATTATAAGTATGGTATTGCTTTCAGAAAGCATTTCAAATGACTTTTAATAATAGTTTTACATGCTAATAATAATCTTAAGAAGTAAAATACAGCTATATTATACGAGAAATAAAATTTTTTAATTAAATGTGATAGATTCTTTTATCTTAAGCCAATGGTAATTCAAAAATTTTCGCGAACTATAAAAATTCACGAAACATTTAACACATCGATTTTAGCAAAATCAAAAAATCCTTCGATTTTATCGTCTTTACGACTTGTTTCGTTCTTATTAGAAATCTTAATTCGATTATATATTAACAAAAAATATTACAAATTTTGCAAATGCGATAGTAGAAAAAATTATGGATTCGATAATATTGGTATTTATAATATTGATATTTTTTCACTAATATTGATTGATATAGAGCATTCGGATTTCAATTTTTGCCTTCTTGAAGCTACATATCCTTAAAGATGTGTCCTCATGCATATTTCATGTAAATCAACAAACAATGATTAAATGAACAAATAAAAATTAAACAAACATTATGACGTCTGTGTGCTTTTATAGAATGAAAAGAAAATTGGTAACTATTAACTTAGTTTTGTAGTTAAGTGTACTTGTTTTGTAGTTTTGTTACTTTGTTTTTCGTCCATACATTTGCTACTTTGATATTAATAATATACAAAGGTATCTAACAAAAGAAATTCGTGCATGTATGTATAACAATTTTCCAACTGTCAACTCACCCACGAGGAGTCTTCCTAGATTTTCGGTGTTTTCGCTTCTTCTGAAAACGAGCTGTCAGAAAATCGTCGAATTCACTAGAAGATTTACTGGTTAAAGATCCACCCGTATAATTTTTCTCGCTCGATACTCGATACGTTCTATCGCGCTCTGATGTCACAAAATGCGAATCTTTTCTTTATTGCATGTGTATAACCACTTCGAGTGAACGCGCCCTGAGTACTGAAACAGAGGTGAACGCTGCTGCGCGTTCGCCCGTCATTGAAACTATTCCGAGTACACCTGTGACTAAAAGAGGGCGCAAGTCAGTTCTTTAACCACTTGCGCGTAATATCGCAATCCATCTATTAAATTTAAAATAATAACGATAACGTCATCTGTAGTAAAGTACGTTAGAACTATCTATGAATCCATACAATTATAGGGAATCCAATATAATAAAATGCAGATTTGCACATAAAGTCTATGAAATCAGAATGTATTCAATTAATATCAATATAACTTAATTTATACAAAATTTGCAAAATGTATGCAACTCGATATATTTTTAATATTTTTGAATTAGTTTCGAATGAACAACATTTGGATGGTAAGTTATTGATTACAATCATTTGTTATTAAACGATTTAATTTAATAATGATACGTGGATTGTGGCTTCATGAGATATATTAATGAATTTTTAAAATAATAATTTACGCTGAGTAAAAATACTGGTGATATTAAATTGCGATTGTCTATTAGAACATCAGAGATGTTATCCGTTGTATTTCTTTTGAGCAACGAATGATTTCGTTATCGTCCATGATAGGCGAACTATTGGTAAAAATATCGATTAAAAAATGTCATACATGCACGAGAGGGTAGTATTAGAATATGAAGAAAGGACAATTTGAAGTTGTGATTTACTTCTTATTTTATTTTACTTTAAATAAGACTTTTATATTTTTGTACGCGTGAGTAGTATACGTTTATACGTGAATGTGTGTATGTATGTGTGCCTGAGTACGTGTAGCTGTGTGCACATATACACATTTATACAATTCAAAAATGGGTTGTTCTAATAAAGTCTAAAAAGGAGTCTTAACATAAGTCTCCGTATTCCATTTACAATGGAACGATGTTGCTTGTAACTGTAGCAAAACCGTACTTTTAGCAGGATAATCGTGCGCATTAAGTTATCGAAAGATTCACTAAAAAAAAAAAAAAAGAACAACGTTTAACGTAATTTTAAGTTATTTTCAACTACAAGGAATAATGTTTTTGCTACGATTAAAATGTGAAGATAATCACACAACGAAAATGGGTTACTGATTGTACTTTAGCTTAAAAGAAAACAAGAATAACGGGTTTGCGATTATGTAATACATCATATTATTTTCATAACTATAAGAGAAAATTACGATACAAATATCTCGAAAATTATTTACGCTATACATTATTCTAACTTATAAGGTGCAATGAAAAAAAAAACAATTGCTCACGAAAATCCAGACTACAAGTGATCACAAGGATCACTTTTGGACCACGTAGCAAGCAACAATTGTAGTATGCTATGTTCTAAATATATGTGTATTATGTATAAAACTAAAAGAACGGTTCTGCTCTGAATTTTCCCTGTTTTACAGTTCAAAAGAAACTCTTAACGCGTCTGCGTCATGCCTTGAACCGAGCTTTTTCATCATTTTCATTGTTTCTTGTCTCTGCGTAGACTTTAAGCCACTTTCAAACGTTCAAGCGATTGTTTCGTGGTTATCAACCATGGGTAATAGGATATCTTATTAATAAAGAGGTAGTGAGAACGTTCTTGGTTATTGAGTAACAGTCAAGAAGAGAAATCTTCGAGAAGGAATTCAACGTTTACGACGCACTTGGTGGACACACTTATCGGCGGATCAATCAAATTCTCAAAACCGTTCGCTATATGGAAATGTATTCTTATCATTCGCTCGAACAAAAACATTTGCTTCTTTAAAACGTTCGTAATATACGTTAGATATAAGTTTTTATTTCCGTTCGCCGCTATTATAGAAGTTCTCACTAGTTCCTTTACAAAAATTATTATCCCATACCTCGCCTTAATAACTACTTAAACACTATTTGATGAAAAGTCGATCGGCAGAAGCGACCGTACGACCCGGGTTCGTATATTTGAAATGCGGTTTGTTTTCATAATAAAATATTACTTTATACATTTTGTAAACGCCCCGTAAGGCCGCGTCTGCATAATCACGCTACCATAACGCGAGCACATGCACTGTAGAACTAGTTATTGTACCACGATGAAAGAATAAATTATTACTCGAATGGCAAAATGTGCCGATAGATTCATTATAGTTTTCCTCGGTGGCATCATCAGGACGGGAGAGGCATTCCTTTTTGCGCCCCCGTCACTAAAGAGTAACGTCTTTACGCTCAGTAATTATTTTACGAGTCAGATTCAGCGAGAGCGCCCGTCTGTCATCCCGTCGACCGCGGATTCGTTATAGAACCTAGGGCCACTGTCACTAGTGTCGCGGACGTCTCACCGCCGTGGTAGATTGTCAAACCTGTGTTATCCATACCTGTGTCAATAAATCGTATCTTCGTACACCGCAACGATGGCTACCTTCAATGAAAACTCCTCAAACACCGGCAACCCTATCCCCGACGCTACTCCGACATATATATATATAAACAACGAAAAATCTCACATTCCTATCCAATCCAGCAACGCTAATACATACATATATATATTATATATATATATATATATATATATATATATATATATATATATATATATATATATATATATATATATATATATATATATATATATATATATATATATATATATATATATATATATATATATATATATATATATATATATATATATATATATATATATATATATATATATATATATATATATATATATATATATATATATATATATATATATATATATATATATATATATATATATATATATATATATATATATATATATATATATATATATATATATATATATATATATATATATATATATATATATATATATATATATATATATATATATATATATATATATATATATATATATATATATATATATATATATATATATATATATATATATATATATATATATATATATATATATATATATATATATATATATATATATATATAATATATATATTATATATATATATATATATATATATATATATATATTAAGACGCAAGACAAATGGTAATTCATACGTAGATATCCGATTTTTTTCCTTTTTTAAAATATCGGAGAATGGAATTTTTTTTGTATACTAGTCCGAAGAAAATACTTTGAAATTTTTGTGTCGTACGAAGGCCTCGTAAAAATTGGGAAACTAATTTGTTTGAGTGTACGAACGATTTTCTAAAAAAATTGCTTATATCAAGGAATAACATGCACTTTGATTCGTGTTCCTTTTTTTCTTTTTTACGAATCTTAACGTTAAGATGCGGAATCTCCGATTTATTCTTACGACTCGATTGAACATCTAAAATAAAGAGTTGAAAAGTCATAACCCATCAATTTTTAGGATTACTTAACATCTTAATAAATAACTTGCGAAGAATGGTAGTTACAATATCCGTGTACGACTATACGATGCCGTTAGGCTATAATATAATGTGACAGCAGTGCAAATAAATTGGAAATGCCTGATTAGAATTAATGTACACGCACGCACGCATGCACACGCTATGAGAACGGAGGTAACCTATTTATAGCTCGAAAATTTCACAAAATTCAAGTTCATCATCACAGAAAAGCTATATATATATACATATATGGCTATTTACATAAATGTCTTTAAGACCTTTCCATGCACAAATGTACATAAATCGAAAGGAAAAAAAATGGTAACTAAATTGAACGACTGATCGAGCATATTTGGCTCGCGTTACTCGTTTAATCTCACTTTTTGTCTTTGTTCGATCGACAAAACTACAAAAGCAGGCATAACATTACGCTAAAAAGAATGTGAAGGCGACTTCTGGTTGTTTCGATATGATTAGTAATAAAAATCAACGAAACAGCGAAAACATCTGACCGATAGACTTTAACATACTTATATTTACAGTGATATCTTCGGCGCTATGTGGAAATAACTTGTCAGATTTTTAAATGCAATCGAGTGAAAAAATTTACGCCGAAAGGAACGTTTTTTTTTTTTTTTTTTTTCTTCCACTACCGTTTCCTCGAGAACGCATGGTGAAAAAGTACAAGACGAATTTCGTTTTTAATCCTAGGAGGAATATGAATGGTTGGTTTATCGTTTATCTATTATCCTGAGATTCAAACTTTTCTTAATTATCAATCACACTTGACGTTGAAACCGATTCGAAAAGTGTGTGCACTTTATTGCTAAAGCAAGCTTATTTCAATTTATATATTACTTTTATCGTGACATCGTCTATGACTAGTCATGAACTTCTGTTTCTCGTTACGTATCATCTTTTTAGTTATTTCAGCGATTAATAGTATTTCAAACTTTGTAAAATTAGCAATATTTTCGCCCCCACTTTTGTCTAGCATCATCGCTAGTACAATCATTGAGACTGCCGAGTACAAAGTGAATACGATATTCGTGTAAATATCATCGGATGTTAAACGACAAACAGTGATCGCACAGTGCTCGTTAATTCACTATTCGACCAGTTTACGTATCGAAGTATTTCTTTTCAGGTCGTTCGTAATATTATCTTTGGACACTAGCGATAATTGTCAATCTTTCTTATTTGTACATTGGATCGATCGATCGTTCGTTGTTCGAACACGCGCGAAACTCAGATGGCATATAAATCCTTAATGAAAGAAGATGCCTCAAAAAACGTCACTTCTTTTTGTTCTTTTTATTTAGATAAATCACTTAACGCGCTGAACTGTTTAATTAGCTTGTATATACGCTATTCTACGAAGGAACCACGAACGTTCAATTGAATGTAAAATACGCGGTAGGTTTACAGCGTAACGCGGGAAAAAGATACCGCTGTAAAACTAATTGCACAGCTGCTAATTGCAATTCCTTTTGGTTGAAAACGTTGCGTTTCCATAAATTCCATTAAATCGATAACATAAATTACAGATCGATGTATATCGGTATCGCATTATCGACGATCGTATTATAGTTTTCTTAGAAACGATTAACGCGATCAGTCGCCGGCGTCCTTCAGACTCTGTTCACGTTTGCAAAATCTTCGTCAGTTTCCTCTTTCCTCGATCCGTGCAAACATTTCCGGTATAGGCTAATTAAAGGCATCGCCAGTAAAAGAACTCCGCTCAACGCAATGAAGAAACCGGCTAAGTAGAACGACAAATCGTACGTCCCCGTGATATCGTAAAGCCATCCTGAAACAACGAAAATACGTTTTGCGTACTCAGGCATCGATATGTTCCGTAAGATGGGCGGTGCATTCGCCCGAATTTTCTCGGTTGTCGTCGGACAATGGAAGTTTGGCCGTAATTACACGATCAATCAATCTGGGCCATGAAACTTTAAAGCTATTACGATCGTATAATTCACATAGAGCACCCGAGGTAACACGGACAAAGTTACCGGTAATTTAACCTGCTACCCTCTGACATTTTAGCGTAAATTGTTTCAAGTATTCGTAGGAATAGAATCGTTTATCGTGTCTATCATAAATACGTAAAAATATGTATTAAATTATAATATATAATTGTACGACAGTAGAAATTGGAATTTTGTTTACGAATCTGAGGAAAGCTTCGATCTGGCTTTAGGTCTTTTAATATAACAAATAATAAGTAATAAAACATTTTTGAAATTAATATCTTAAATTTCATCGTTAATTTTCAAACGATGATTTCACTCTAATTAGCGAATCTTTTAAATAACATTCTATTTATTTAATTACGCAACATTGGTTTTATGCTATCCAGAATTATAAGTATTACAGAGGAAGTATTAGTCGTTTCGTTTCGTGGAAAAATGAGCAACTCGTAACGAGAGTTTCTCCTTACCAGCCAACGGAGGACCCATAAGATTTGCAACACCCTGGACCAAGAGTAGAAGGCCATACGCGTTTGTGAATCTTTCGAGCGTAATCAGTTCGACGAGGATGATGCTGGTAAGACTGTAGTTCGCCCCGATGAATAATCCAAAAGCACCAGAGATAGCGCATAAGGCATAGTAACTGCCAATTACCATGGGTATTAAAGCCGTCACCGCGCCACAAAATGCCATGCATACTGCATATACGATAGATGCGTTTACCCATGCTCTGTCACCTGCCCAACCAAGCAGAATCTGAAAAATATTGTCCATTTTTAACATTTATCAAATTTCCAGAAGTGAAGTTTTAATAGAGAGAGAGAGAGAGAGAGGGAATACATTCAACTTTCCTTATAAAATTATTATTTCAAGTTATAGAGTCGGGAGAATCGTAGAACGATTATACTTAAAAAAAAAATAGTAATAGATAGATATAAACACGTTGTTGACCGGTTATTTTATGTAAAGACTAACGCGCACCACCGCCTGTTTTATGCAAAATCGAGCAACTTTTACTTTATGCGTGAAATCACGAGTTCACCCGTGACTGGTCAACGATGCGTTAACATTCTCTGACACAAAGCAAATATTTACAAAACTATAATTTTCTAGCTTCCAAAGCTGCATATAAAATCGATGGCTCGAACCATTACATTTATTTTATATATGCAAAAAATGTTACGAGTTTGAGGAGAGAATTGTCTGTAGGATACGAGTGATCTACGGTGTCTCCGATGTACGATGTCTCGAGAATCGTTTCTAACGCATCTTCCACGTATTTGACTTTGCTGAATCGATAAGGAACTATGTAACTTTTCTCGGAATTGTTTCTATGTTAATCGCACCGACGCAAGTTTAGTCTAACCCTTTCGCGTGACGCAAACTCGGGCTTAAAGAGAGTTTGCGATCAAACGAGATCAGAGAGGGTGAAAGGAACTAGATACGTCACTGATTGACCTAAGGCGGTATTGACGCGATACCAGACCTTCAAGAAGCTTTTTAGGTTGAACAAAAACGTTCGACCCTGCGTGGACGTTGCTCGCTCACACCAGAGAGCAAAGTTTCCAGAAAAATTCTGTCAAGTTTCTCGATCGTTAACAGCAACAGCAAAAAGGATAACGCGATAATTATAATTTAACACGATAATCTAAATAAAAAATCGAATTTTTATGGAAAATATCGACCAAGATCAAAGACAAAGAAGCTATTAAGACGCTTCTATCTGTTTACGTGTATGCGAGAAACGTCAATTTGCGGAAATATATAAAACACAAACGTCGCGAAAAATGTAGCAGTAAACATAGATAATTACATAGTACGAATTATAACGCGCAACACGAAATAATATGCAACGTTTTTACAAGCTAAACGGATAGACGCCGATCGATCGTTGCGTAAGATTCCAGCGGGGATTTAATTTCAAATATCATTTCGAAGCCGTACGAAGGTACAAAGCGATTATGAGGTCTAAAATTTTCAAAAAATTTCGCTCGTAGACACAGGGAACAGCTGTTGGAGGAATGAATGTCTCGATGAATCGGTAGGCGGAAATAACCATTCTTTATCGAGGGATAAATAACGGCGAGGCAAACTAATATCGGAACACAGAAAGGAAGAAAGTGACGGTGCAAAGGAGAACCCACCGAACAATGAACATCGATATTTGGAATTATCGACATGTTGGTTCGTGCGACACGATAATATTAAGTAACGCGTCGTCGTTGTTAGATTTTCACGTTTAAAGCATCCACGATTGTTGCGTCTTCGCAATAACAACCGTTGCCGTAAAATTGCGATTAAACGTAAGAGGAAGTGAAAAGAATAAGCATCGTTTGCAACTATTGGAATTTCAAATTGTTTGACATACATCGATAAACATCGTTATACGTACTTGAAATAGCCTTCGAATAGATAAATTGATATTGTGCGTTAAAATCGTGCTACGATTGTGCCATACTTGTCCGACATTTAGACAACGATCGATTCCGAATAATGTGCGAATATCGAATCGTGATAATAAGGCAGTAATAATTGTTCGGAGACAAACTGGGTCATCGACTTGCCGAAACTTGGAAAACGAAATTTCCTCCCTTGGGAAATTTTTTATCTTCGTGGAGAAAGATTTCGAACGTTTCGCTTGACGAACAAAGCCCAAGACATTACGAAATTTAGATTCGTACGTAAGCTAGTCGTCGGTTCGCTTATAAAAAAAAAAAAGAGGTTGGAATAAGAAACGTCGTTAAAGCAAATACGTTACAACGCTATATTTAATCGCCACCTGTAATTGAATTATTCGAATGAAAATATTTTATCTCGCGATAACAAGTAAGTAAAATGGTAATTTCCGATAGTCGATAAAAATTGATACGAAAAAGAAAGAACGGTAAATTATCGGATCGCTGCGTATATAAGACTCGGTATATAAGGATATTCTAAGAAATCGATTAACAAAGAATATATTAATAGCCGATGAATGTACTTTCTACTTTCCAACGGAAGAAGAAGAAAAGCGTTGCTCGCGGTTGGATAATCGATGGATAATCAAAAATGGCCATTAAATTGAGAATCGAAGATCGTTCTTACCTCGCCACCCATGTTGGTTATTCCTATGACCGATATTAAAATAGATGCGTCGGTTTCGCTAAAGCCCATCTCGATCGCGTTGTCCGTCAAATAGACGTAGGGCACGTCGTACCAGGTATGTAGGAGGAAATTGCTAATGGCGAACAGCAAGAAACGCGAATCAGCGAAATGAGAAAAATCAAGCATGTCGACGATGAGGTCCCAAAATTCCCAGAGACCGGCGTACCAGACGAGTTTGGTTCTAGCTATGGTGGTCATCGAGTTCCTATAAATATCCGGACAACTGGATGCCCTGAGTCGATATCGATTTATGTTCAACATAGCACCTCTATACGTAAGGCTCTGCCTATGCACTCTGATATCCTTCAAATAGGCAGTAGGTAGTCTCCTGGTATGCTCGAGAGTGCTGGATCTTCTCAACGAGCTATCCAGATTGATCTTTTTCAACCACCACAATCGCCAAGCGGCGTCCGTTTGCTGTCGAAGAGTTTGCTCGTCGTTGGGCAAGACCTTGTCCTTGTTTTCCTCGCTCTTCAACTCGGACAAAGAGCTCGGCGTGGGCACGAATCTGGCCGAAGGTGTGCTCAGCTGATCGTGAAGCGGGCCGGAATCGCTGAAGCTCCTCGAGGAGATGAGCAGACTCGGATAATTTTGCAGTAACACGTTGTACACGTTTTTACGAGTACTAAGTAGTTCCAATACCTCCAACGGTACCTTTTCGCCGTTCTTCACGAACGTGGGTAAGCTTACCAGACTGGAAAATAGCTTTTCACCGTCTTCCTCCTCTTCCTCTTGAGTCCGAAGATTCTCCATGATCGTGAGGGTGTTCAGCGAACTATTCGCGGAGAACGAGTCCACGCTCGAGCTCTGTATCCTGGTCCTCTTTTTCTCCCGATTTTTCCGTCTCTCCTCGGTCTTCGCCTTCGCTCTGGTGGTCGTCCATTCCAGATCCCTCATAAGACAGCCGCAGACAGCCAGATTGAGAAACAGACCGGCCAATATCAGCGTGGTTCCCCGCCAGCCGTATTCGGCCAGTAGATACTGCGTGACCGGGGCAAAGATGAACGTTCCTATGCCGCTACCGCAGACGGACAAACCTGTCGCGAAAGATCTCTTCTTATCGAAGTAGTAAGCGACGATCACCACGGCTGCCACGAAACACAAGGACAAACCGAAGCCAGCGAGAACCCCGAAAGTGAATATCAGAACCTCCATGGAATTGGCGAAAGAACTTATAACGAAACCGGCCGCCGCTAGGATACTGCCCGCTATAGAAACTCTTCGACAACCGTATCTGTCCGTGAGGAAACTGGCCACGGGGCCCGACAACAACGGCATCGCCATGAACAAGCTGCCGATCCAGGCCGTCTTCGATTTCCCTTCGCCGAAATAGTTGAGGAATTCCACGTAGATCACGCCGAACGAGAACGTGATACCGTCGGCTATGAGGTTAACCATGAAGGAAGCTGCGACGACCACCCATCCCCAACCGCCATCGGGTGGCGTAGCCTCGCACAATTGCCCCAAGCTGGAATTATCCTCGGAACTGCTGGTGGTCGACGGTGGTAGAGAAGGGCTCGATCGCGGCCTCTGCTCCCGGCACTGCTGCTTCTTCGAGTCTTTGTTAAATTGCACATGATGCTGTTGCTTGTCCTCCCGCGGCGATTTCCCGTTAACCAACTTCTCGGTACTCTTCTCGGACGGCGAACGATTCTTCGACAGGATCTTGGTCGGAGAGCCGAAAATCGAACTTCGCTCTGTGAAAACGCTCTTACGCTTCGGCGGGCTGGCAACCTTGTCCTTGTACAAACTGTCAGGCTTTTTCACCGAGTTCTGCGATTCTTTCGATTCTCTCAATTCGTGCCTAGCTTCCTGTCGAATCTTCGAGCCAGGCTCGTTGTAAGCAACGTCGAACGTCTTCTCCAAACAATTTCGTAACTCCTCGTCCTTCTCGATCGCCGCATCGTTCACGTAGCTCTGATCGTACAATATCTTGGATCGTTCCTCGGTAAGAATTCCGATCTGATCGGAATTTTTTCTCAACCGTGACGCGTTCTTCACCAAAGAATTTAGTTCCGACGAGGTCGCGTCGCTAGCTTTTCGCGACTCCGTTTTACGCGGCGTTTCTTGCGGAGTCCTGTTTACGGAAGAACGTCTTTTCTCGATCAACAACTCCTCGTCGCTTTTTCGTGCTATCACCTCGATCGCGTTTCTCGAGTCACCACGCGATCCACCGGTACCGTCCTCCTCCTCTTTGTTATTGCTCTCTGTCTCGATCGTGTTGCTCGATTGAGTCAGCTTCTCCTCGCCATTGAACTTGGCCCACTCGGCCATGATGATGGTACCAAGAACAAGGAGGACTCTGCCGTTTAAGCGCAGTCCTCGAACGGTCGACGCAACCACATCGAACCTATTCTTTTTTCTCGTTTAACGATTTAACTACCTCTTCTTTTTTTTTTGTTTTGTTTCTCGCTTTGTCGATCTCCGTGTAAATTAGATCAAACATATACCCCGTTTTTCTTCTTCTTCTTCTTCTTCTTCTTCTTCTTATCCTTTTATATTCTCTGCCTTTTAGTAGCACTTAAAAACACGCGCGCCGCTAGAAAAAATGTCATATCACGATTAAATTTGATCGCGGTTCGCGCGATCGATTCAAAACTGATCTAGTTTCGTCCTTGATTTAAACAATGGTAAACCGGGCCACTCGTAGAGCTGCCTAGTAAACTGACGGCGTAACGGCAACAACGACGCTGACGATCTGCACGAATTCTTAAAGTTCTTCGTTGTACGCTGGTGAATCGCATCTGGGCCGCCACCATCGCAAACGTGGCCCAAGATGCGGGATGCTTTCCTTCTTCTCGGGCCCTGGTTAATCGGGACCGCCTCCTCCTCCGCGAAACGATCGTCAACCCAGGCACCCATACGGCGAACGGTACTGCTTCGGCTCTTGCGGTGTATTCTGCGATCGAAATATACATACGTTACTTTTATGCCACGTGTTATCGGCGGTGCATCGTGACGTTTATTACCCAACATTCGTGAGACCAATGGTCGAAAAAATCGAAAGGATTCGTTTCCGACATACGCGAGAAATTTTGATTCGTACGTAATATTTTTGTTACGTCCGCTGATTCTCTACGATTCGATGTATTACGGTGTGCGATATTTCAATATCGATTTAATATTTATAAATCCGATATTATTTCGTAATATTTATTTGCTAAGAATCGTTTTTCGGACGAAGAGCATCGTTTTTCATGAGCTAATCGGAGTATTCATACCGCGATTCGACTTGTTCGCGTTGGTATTTGTTGTTCCGATTTCCGATATTATAAACAGAGCTTTTAACATTACGGGCGTTGGTTTTTAGTTGCGACGTTGCCCGTTGTTAAGCTCACAGGCTTAAAAAAAATTTAGCTCGCTATTCTTCGCGTCCTACTCCGTGTTTTTGTTCAAATGAATTTCCATAAATCGAGGATGAGATCGATCCGTGGAGAGACGACAACTGGAAAAGTAATTTTAACCGATTTATCTATGTTTCGTCCGAATTAATTTTATGCATTTTCTCTATTTGCTGATAGTCGATGAATCGATAGATGATTGGAACGTACAGAAATCGTAATACTCTGCTTCACTTTCTAGACGAATGGTAAAGATGTTAAAATCTGCAAAGTATAGAAATAACAGCGTGCTCCTTCATCTTAGACGGATATCGATCATAAAGGTGTTAAAATCTGGTTCTGACTTGGCACGACTTTACGACAGTCTCTATTACGCGTTTAGTCCTATCGATAGCTCTACGAGAGAGATTTAGGTCTAATCCAATTTAAACGAAAAGAGAGTCGTTCGACGCAGCCTGTTAATTTTTATGATATTTTGCCAATGTTCGTTACAGTAGACGCGACGATCCGTAAATAAAACCAAAGACTCGGAAACCACGAGTCGAACAGAACGTTATTAATCCGTATCGTTATTAATCCGTATACCTCTATAACGATCGTTATGACGCGAGAAATGTTTTATTTTAATCCATAAATCAATAAGCGGAGAATTTGCAGAAGGGAATCGTGCATCCACTAATTACACTTTATTATTCGATAAAACTTATTTTTCCGTCCATGTCCTTCATCCACCGTGTTTACAGAAAGTTCCGAAGTACCTTAGTACGAATGGATATCCTTGCGATGCCCAGCGTCGTTTTCATTATTAATAGAAATATTCTATATCTCTCTCGACGTTACGTCGTATTTATGTACATTCTAAATTTTACTGCGACACACACGCGCACGCACCAAGATTTATAAAAGTCTGTAAACTGTAAATACGTTACTCGCTTCGATGGACAATGAAAAGGATACGTTCATTTAAGTGTCACGTTTTTAACCGATTATTTATACACCACGTACTCCAAAATCAGATTCTAAATGAATTATTTACAAACTTTCCGAGAATAGAGCGTAACTTTAACATCATCGGCAACGAACAACGTTCTTTTGATATAAAAAATTCAATTTCTTGCCGAATATCTAAATTCTAGTTTTATAGTATACCAACGTTTCTTCCGATAACAAACTCGTATCCGCTTGCCTAATTATCTCTAACAACGGTATTACAGCTGCGTAATTTTAAGCAGCTATTTCAACCTTAAAAGAGAGGTACAACTTTCTCTGCAACTGAGAAATTAAGCGATTCGTATGTTTCAAGATTCGCTATGTTTTTCGCGTATACGTATACGTAGATACTACTCGTTGTAGAACTCCATCGTCGTTTCAATAGACCAATTTCACGCTCGATTATATTTGTCAAGCGCTGCTTACGTTAATCACAGATTCGTTTATTCCCGAACGAGTATCGATCGGCATTTTCCGTTTCTCGAGTTGGTACTAGGCATGGAAAATAAGGATGCAACTAAAGTTCTAAAGTACTTTTACCGAACTAAAGCTCGTCGTACAAACACGATACAAGGACTCTTCGTATAAACGTTCGTTTCATCTGACCTTGTTTTCAAGTTGCGCCCATTTTTATGCTGTATCAATTGTTCGGGCCGCCTTCGCAGACGTTACTGCTTGTATTACGCTTGATACGCGAAGGAACGAACATCGATTGCTAATACCCAAACGAGATCAGCCACGTTGATTAATTCGTGACGAAAGTAATCGAACCGCAACCATAGTTGCAACCGAGAAATAGGGTCAACCAGCGTGAGTTACATTATAAAACACATTTTTATTATTTTTGATATATCCGTAATCGTTTAATCCTTTTCTACCAATCTTTTAATCCGTGTTTCTACTACTAATCTTATATATCCGTGTGTAATTAATTCCGAAGCGATATTTCTCACGTAGATCCAAGTGGATCGAATAATATTAACTATTCTCCTTAATTTAGAAAGTAGAACCGTCTTTGTAAATTATCTTTCAATTTCTTTTTGTAACTGGTTTTTCAGTATAGGTATTATTTCAGTTAAATATCAACAGGGAGCAGACCTTCCAATAGCTGAATCTTCCGACTGTACGACGTGACCCAATTTGATATTAATAACCTTACATTTTAATTAGTCCTTCGTATACGTCATCGGTAAATAATTATTTACAGCTAATAATCATTTGCGATATTAGAGAGTAATTTTTACAAATTTCTCGCTTCTCGATATTATTATACGCCTAAATAATACTTATTACGATACTTATTTTCGGCATCCTGGCCATAAAAGGAACTCGATTCACCATTATTTTCCATATTGCCTTGTATTCTCACTTACCTACGCATTTACCACACGTACACAAGCTTATTTTACCCTTACTTTTCCATTACGTATCTAACGTCTGTCATCTATCTAACTGTTAACTGTTTCTAGCAAAAGTATATCGCTTCTAAAATTCATGAAACGTTATTTAGCGAATTTAAGCGATTCTATCTTCCAGAATTCTATAAATTCCATCTAACGACTACTATAAACGTGTACACGTAATACATTTATCAATTGTTAAATAAATCTTCAACGATTCAAAAATATTCACCTATGTACCCGTCTCCTTTCGTACTCAGTTTGTCTTGACAAACCGTCTTACTTATTAATCGGCAATTGAGAGAGAGAGAGAGAGAGAGAGAGAGAGAGAGAGAGAGAGAGAGAGAGAGAGAGAGAGAGAGAGAGAGAGAGAGAGAGAGAGAGAGAGAGAGAGAGAGAGAGAGAGAGAGAGAGAGAGAGAGAGAGAGAGAGAGAGAGAGAGAGAGAGAGAGAGAGAGAGAGAGAGAGAGAGAGAGAGAGAGAGAGAGAGAGAGAGAGAGAGAGAGAGAGAGAGAGAGAGAGAGAGAGAGAGAGAGAGAGAGAGAGAGAGAGAGAGAGAGAGAGAGAGAGAGAGAGAGAGAGAGAGAGAGAGAGAGAGAGAGAGAGAGAGAGAGAGAGAGAGAGAGAGAGAGAGAGAGAGAGAGAGAGAGAGAGAGAGAGAGAGAGAGAGAGAGAGAGAGAGAGAGAGAGAGAGAGAGAGAGAGAGAGAGAGAGAGAGAGAGAGAGAGAGAGAGAGAGAGAGAGAGAGAGAGAGAGAGAGAGAGAGAGAGAGATGCTTTGTAATAAAATTTCGCAGCGAAACAACGACGAAGAAGTTTGCGCAGCTCGACTAAAGGAATAGTCGAGTAGAAGCAACGTCAGAGGCAGAATTCTCACGTCGTCATTTTGAAATCGACGTTTGGAAGAGAGACGGCGTCGACGTTGAGATTTGCTTCTGGCACTTCGTAACTAGCCGAAGTAGCTCGAGTTAGAGTCGGCGATTATAAATGAAGTTCATTGTGTATGAGTTGCTATCAATTTAACGGTGGACACGATGATCACGTGCGTATCTCGCGATCTCCTGTCTTTCCTTCCGTTAGTTCTTCTCCTTCTTCTCCATCTCGTCACCATCGTCTTCCTCCTCTTCTGCCTCTTCTTCTGCTTCTTCGCAGGATGCTTCTTCCAAGTATTCTATGTAAATCGGTTTCTCATCATTGGCATTTGTCGACAGGCCTTCGATACGAGGCTTTGCAAAACCTTATCTGCACCGCTACAGTCTGACGCGCTTAGAACTGCATGCCACGTTATTGTGAGACTTTGGAACCGAAGGAAATTTTAGAATGTGCGATTGTTCGACCAAGCGTGAATACCGAAACCTCATACACACAGAAGTAGAGCACGGTCTCGGTCTCGGCCTCTCTCTCTCTCTCTTTTCTCTCTTCCCTCTCTCTCGCTCTCGCTCGCTCGCTTTTACGATCATTGTTATCAGATCTTGAGAATTAAAGGACGGCTCGGAGAAGGCTTCCGATCTGTTTGCAGATATCACAGCAGATATCAAACATGTACGTGTAGTTCGGACGAACAGATGTGTTTTCGAGAGCAAGATCGTAGATTAGGTTTCGGGGGAAAATTTGGAAATACATAATTTTATGGAAATTTAAAAACTCGAAGTTGGAACGTTCGACAGTTTTCAAATTGCAAAAGTCGAAAGTTGGGTAACTTTCAAATTCGAAAGTTCAAAAGTTTGAAAAACGAATATACCGCGACTCTTTTCAAACTCGAATATCTTCTAATATCGCGATTATATTGGAAACCATCGTTTCGAGAGCCCTAATTCATTTATTAAAAATAAAGACGACATATCAACATGTTGTTACGTTCTAATAATATAAACTACGATTTCATACGAAATTAATTTTTCCCATATATCATACGGAAATTACGTACATATACGAATACCACATTTCTATGAAAACAACGATTATTTACGAATGCTCATATTTCTTCGTACTTTTATATTTAAAAAATGAAATAACAACAATGCATCTTATTTTCCACGCACGAATACAAATCTGTCCGTTTTGTCATAGGAATATGTTCCTATTTGATTCATTTGAATATCTAAAGATCGTTGTTTAAACCAACCAACCAAAGGTATTTAAAGCATCGATCCTTTCAGGCTTTGGACG